CAGACCTCAAAGTAAAGGCCATAACAAGAGATAAGGAAGGCCACTACATAATACTAAAGGGAGCAATTCAACAAGAAGATGTAACTCTGGTAAACATATTTGCACCCAATACAGGAGCACCCAATACATAAAACAACTTCTGGAAGATATCAAGGGAGAGATCGATAGCAATATAGTCATAGTAGGGGACTTTAATACCCCACTGACACCACTGGATAAATCCTCAAAACAAAAAACCAGCAAAGAAACAGCAATCCTAAATGATTCACTAGATCAGATGGACTTAATTGACAACTACAGAATATTTCACCCCAAAGCTACAGAACATACATTCTTCTCCAGTGCACATGGGACATTTTCAAAGATAGACCATATATTAGGACACAGGCAAAGTCTCTTCAAATTCAAGAGAGTAGAAATCATAAGAAGCATCTTCTCAGATCACAATGGCATAAAACTAGAAGTGAACTACAATAAAAACATTGAAAAAAAATCAAACACTTGGAGGCTAAATAGCATGCTATTAGGCAATGACTGGGTTACCAGAGAGATCAAAGAAGAAATAAAAAGCATCCTGAAAAAAAATGACAATGAAAACACAACAATCCAAAAATCTATGGGACACAATGAAAGCAGTCCTGAGAGGGAAGTTCATAGCTCTACAGGCCTACCTCAAAAAACAAAAAAAACTGGCAATAAATGATTTAACCCTACAACTCAAAGAGTTAGAAAGAGAGCAACAAGAAAAGCCCACAGTATCCAGAAGGAAGGAAATAATAAAGATCAGAGCAGAAATAAACAACATAGAGACAAAAAAACCAAAACAACAATACAAAAGATCAATGAAACCAAGAGCTGGTTCTTTGAAAGGATTAACAAGATTGATGAACCTCTCACCAGGCTCACCAAGAAACAAAGAGAGAGGACCCAAATAAACAAAATCAGAAATGAAAGAGGTGAAGTAACAACTGACCCTACTGATATACAAAGGATTGTAAAAAAAATACTATGAGCAACTCTACTCCAACAAACTGGACAACCGCGACAAAATGGACACATTCCAAGAAATATAAAAGCTTCCAAAACTCAATCAGGAAGAATAAAAAAACCTGAATAGGCCAATAACTGCTGATGAAATTGAAACAGTAATCAAACAGCTTCAAGCAAACAAAAGCCCTGGACCAGATGGCTTCACAGGGGAGTTTTACCGAACATTTAAAGAAGAACTAAAGCCAATCCTTCTCAGATATTCCAAAAAATTCAAGAGGAAGGCACACTTCCAAGCTCTTTCTATGAAGCCAGCATCACTCTAATCCCAAAAGCAGATAAAGACACCTCAAAGAAAGAGAATTACAGGCCAATATCCCTGATGAACATAGATGCTAAAATCCTCAACAAAATTCTAGCAAACCGGATCCAGTATTACTTTAGAAAGATCATACACCATGACCAAGTGGGATTTATTCAGGAATGCAAGGCTGGTACAATATCTGCAAATCAATAAACGTGATACATCACATAAACAAGTTGAGAGACAAAATTCACATAAATATATCGATGGATGCAGAAAAGGCATTTGACAAAGTCCAACACCCTTTTTTAATAAAAATGCTCAGCAAAGAGGGAATAGAGGGATCATACCTCAACATAATAAAAGCCTTATATGACAAACATACAGCCAACATCATACTCAATGGGCAAAAACTAAAAACATTTCCCTTAAGAACAGGAACAAGACAGGGATGCCCACTTTCACCACTCCTGTTCGACATAGTACAGGAAGTGCTAGCCAAAGCGATCAGACAAGAAGAAGAAATAAAAGGCATCCAAATTGGAAAAGAAGAAGTAAAACTGTCCATATTTGCTGAGGACATGATACTGTACTTTAACCCTAAAGACTCTATCAAAAAATTATTAGACCTAATAAATGATTTTGGCAATGTAGCAGGATAAAAAATTAACACCAAGAAATCTATGGCATTTTTATACGCCAATAGTAAACTTACAGAAAGAGAAATTTAAAAAAACAATCCAATTTACCATTGCACCAAAAAATTTAAGATACCTGGGAATAAACTTAACCAAGGAGGTAAAAGACCTGTACCCAGAAAACTACAGGACTTTGAAAAAAGAGATAGAGAAAGACATAAACAGATGGAAGAACATACTATGTTCATGGATTGGTAGAATCAACATCAATAAAATGTCCATACTACCCAAAGCAATCTATAGATTCAACACACTTCCCATTAAAATATCAACAGCATATTTCACAGACCTAGAAAGATCTCTCCAAAAATTCATCTAGAATAAAAAAACACCCCGAATAGCTTCCGCGATCCTGAGAAAGAAGAACAAAGTAGGTGGGATCTCAAATCCAGATATCAAGCAGTATTACAAAGCCACTGTTCTCAAAACTGCTTGGTACTGGCACAAGAACAGACATATAGACCAATGGAATAGAACAGAGAGCCCAGAATTCGACCCAAACCCTTTTGCTCAATTAATATTTGACAAAGGAGGCAAGAACATACAACGGAGTCAAGATAGTCTCTTCAATAAATGGTGCTGGGAAATTTGGTCAAACACATGCAAAAAAATGAAACTAGACCACCAACTTACACCATACACAAAAATAAACTCAAAATGGATAAAGGACTTAAACGTAAGACGGGAAACCATAAGATTATTAGAGGACTCCACAGGTAGCAAAATCTCAGATATATGCCGAAGGAATTTCTTCATTGACACAGCTCCTAGGGCAATGGAAACTAAAGGGAAAATAAACAAATGGGACTACATCAAAATAAAAAGGTTCTGCACAGCAAAAGAAACCATCAACAAAACAACAAGAAAGACCACTGCATGGGAGAACATATTTGCCAATGATATCTCCGATAAAGGTTTAATCTCCAACATTTATAGGGAACTCATACAACTCAACAAAAGGAAGATAAACAACCCAATCAAAAAATGGGCAACGGACCTAAACAGACACTTTTTGAAAGAGGACATTCAGAAAGCCAAGAGACATAGAGAAAACATGCTCAAAGTCACTAATCATCCGAGAAATGCAAATCAAAACAACAATGAGGTACCATCTCACACCTGTCAGAATGGCTATCATCAACAAGTCAACAAATGACAAATGCTGGCGAGGATGCTGAGAAAAAGGAACCTTTGTTCACTGCTGGTGGGAATGCAAACTGGTGCAGCCACTGTGGAGAACAGTATGGAGTTTCCTCAAAAAACTAAAAATGGAACTTCCATTTGACCCAGTGATCCCACTTCTAGGGATATATCCCAAGAAACCAGAAACATCAATCAGAAAGGATATATGCATCCCTATGTTCATAGCAGCACAATTTACAATAGCTAAGATTTGGAATCAGCCGAAGTGCCCATCAGCAGATGAATGGATTAAAAAACTTTGGCACATCTACACAATGGAATACTATACAGCTGTAAAAAGGAGGAACTCCTACCATTTGCAACAGCATGGGTGGAGCTGGAGAGCATTATGCTAAGTGAAATAAGTCAGTCAGAGAAAGATAACTACCACATGCTCTCACTCATTTGTGGATTATAATGAACAACATAAATCGATCAACAAAAACAGATGTAGAGACAGAGAAGCATCAATCAGATGCTCAAAACTCAGAGGGAAGGCAGGGGAGGGTGGGGGTCAGGGGGAGAGATCAAGCAAAGGACTTGTATGCATATAAGCATAAGTGATGGATGTGGACAACAGGCAGGAAGGGTAAGGACAGGATTGGGGGATAAGGACACATTTGTAATATCTTATTCAATAAGGAAAAAATTAAAAAGAGAGACACTCCTCACATATTTGTAGAAATATCAGAGAGAGAACTGTTGTGTGACTTCACAGTAGACCTGTGGTCGGCAAACTGTGGCTCGCGAGCCATATGCGGCTCTATGGCCCCTTGAGAGTGGCTCTTCCTAAGCTTTAGGAGTACCCTAATTAAGTGAATAACGATGTACCTACCTATATAGTTTAAGTTTAAAAAATTTGACTCTCAAAAGAAATTTCAATCATCGTACTGTTGATATTTGGCTCTGTTGTCTAAAGAGTTTGCTGACCACTGCAGTAGATCATAAGCACTTGGGCATTTCACTGTTTGTGTTGCTTAAACTACCCTTGCCAGGTATCCTATGGAGCACTCAGCTCCACTGTCCTTGCAGACCTGGTCCAATCGGGGAGGTCGTTTGCCCATCGATGCAGCCTTTCAGGGCTGTTGGACATGAGCCTAATGTAGTTCAGCTGCTATGTCAGCAGTGCTGCCCGGAACACTGATGTGTGTCGGAATGGACTGTGTTAGGTTGCTTGCTTGGGCTGCCATAACATAGGACCACACTGGGTGGTGTTCACAGCAGACATTCACTTTCTCACAATTCCGGAGGCTAGAAGTGAGAGGTGGTGCTGTCAGCGGGGCTGGTATCTCCTGAGGGGGTTGCTCCTCAGCTTGTAGATGGCTGTCTTCTCTCTGTGTGTCACATGGACTCCCCTATGCGCTGCCACATGTCCTACCCTCCTCTTCTAAGGACACTGGTCAGATCAGATGAAGACACATACCACTAAATTCACGTCACCTGAATGACTTGCTTGAAAACTAAACACAAATGTGGACACATAATAGAGTTCTAGGGGTTGCAAAGTCATGGAATTAGGGGTACACGAGTCAGACCACAGTACATGTAATGTCCCCAGCTGGAGATGGATGCTCACTGCTGGTGGAAGGACGTGCACATGTAAAATTTTAACGGCTGCAGGCAGATTCCAAACCCAAAGGGCTGTGGCAGGGATGTTGCCAACAGCAGGTTCTGATGATGGATGCTGCCTTGCTCCCAGCCTGGCCCGGGAAATCTCACTCATTGAAATTTTCACCTGGCCGACGTCAAGTTGTCCAACTCAAACACAGTGTTCCTTCCCTGGCAATGGCCTCAGGGGGACACTGAGGCACCTGTCACTTTTCACCCACCACATGGATTAGCTCCTCCCTGAATCCTCTGGTCAGATTCCTGCTCCGTGATCGCCTGTCTCCCATCTGTAGTCTCCAGGCATTTGGCAACTTGCAGAATCTTCGATCTCCATAATGAGGGTCTTAAAATGCCCTTTCCTGTAAAAGGATAAAACATAACTTTCTCTTTTGAAGACAAAGGCTTTCATAGGCCATATCTACCGTGTACACTGTTTCCACGCAGGGGAGGGACAAGGTTCCCACACCCCTTCCACCCATGTCAATAGCAGGTAAGTCTCCGGTACCTGAGAGGGAATGTCATGCAGGACAGTTCCCAGTTCTGACCTGCATGCCCTTGAGCTGACATTTGATATCCCTAAGCCTCTGTGTTCTCATCTGTATAATGAGGACAATTCTTGAGGATCCATAGGGCCCCGGCTCTTCATATAGACTATTCCTACAAGGAGGTTTGTTGATCCTCAGCTAAAGGGAAGGGGAAAAAAAGATGCCAAGAAGGTGGCAATTGTATTAACATGCACGGAACTTCAGTGGCACTTTGAAGACCTACTACCTCATCCAGCCAGGGCACTCCTGTCCCCCCTCTTGCTCATGTCCTAGTGGGGCTGGGACCTCCAGAGTGAGCTCCAAACCTCCATCCTTGTGGGATTCACGGTCATGCCGCTGACATGGATGTCCTTCCTTCTCCCACCCAGTGTGCAGCTGAGCGAACTGGTGACTTGCATGAGTCCTGCAGGATGCAGGCCCTCCAGGAAGGCACCTCGGAGAAGGTGGCCACGGCCATGGTACCAGCTTTCCCGGGGGGAATCGTCCCCCACGTCTCCACACTGGCCTTCTCCAGAACCCAAGGATTCCTGGACAAGCTGTTAACTAGTGACTCTGCCCACTGCTAGCTGTGAGGCTTGAAAATGTCACCACATTTTCCTGAGTCTCAGGATGCTCCTCTGAAAAATGGAGTGGCGGCGGGAAACCTAATAGCACTGCTGTGGGGACAAACCATGGCAGGTCTTACCTGCTTTCTGGCTCTGCAGACAGGGTAGCTGGACGTGCAGCGGTTGTTGGTGGCAATTCTTTCACTCTGTCCCACGGAAAGAACTCTGACACCCCCATCAGCAGCCTGTGGCATCGGATGTTGGAAAAGCACATGGAAAGCAACCTGTTAAGCAGTGTGAGATGTCACCTAGCCGGTTCTGGTCTTTGGTGTAGCCACACTGGGGATTTTTGGGGAGAGCAGGGGCCCAGGCCAACTCAGATGTATGGATTGCTTCTGGTTGGAATTTCTTTTTTATTTTTATTATTTTTTAAAATTGTTTTATTGCTTAAAGTATTACAAAGAGTATTACATATGTCTCCTTTTTTTCCCCGCCCTTGACAATCCCCTGGCCTCCTCTACCCCCCAGTGTCTTATGTCCATTGGTTATGCTTATACGCATGCATACAAGACCTTCGGTTGATCTCTTACCCTCCCCTCCTGCCCCCCAACCCTCCCCGGCCTTCCCACTGTAGTTTGACAGTCTGTTCGAGGCTCCTCTGCCTCTGTATCTATTTTTGTTCATCAGTTTATAATGGTCTTTATTATCCATAAATGAGTGAGATCATGTGGTATTTTTCCTTCATTGACTGGCTTATTTCACTTAGCATAATGCTCTCCAGTTCCATCCATGATGTTGCAAATGGTAGGAGTTCCTTCTTTTTAACAGCAGCATAATATTCCATCGTGTAGATGTACCACAGTTTTCTAATCCACTCATCTACTGATGGGCACTTCGGCTGTTTCCAGGTCTTAGCTATGGTGAATTATGCTGCTATGAACCTAGGGGTGCATATATCCTTTTTGATTGGTGTTACTGTTTTCTTTGGATATATTCCTAGAAGTGGGATCATGGGGTCAAATGGGAGTTCCATTTTTAGTTTTTTGAGGAAACTCCATACTATCTTCCATAGTGGCTGAACCAGTCTGCATTCCCACCAGCAGTGCAGGAGTGTTCCTTTTTCTCCACATCCTCTCCAGCAATTGTCGTTTGTTGATTTGTTGATTATAGCCATTCTGGCAGGTGGGAGAAGGTACCTCATTGTTGTTTTGATTTGCATTTCTCGGATGATTAGTGACTTTGAGCATGTTTTCTCTATGTCTCTTGGCTTTCTGAATGTCCTCTTTTGAAAAGTGTCTGTTTAGGCCCGTTGCCCATTTTTTGATTGGATTGTTTATCTTCCTTTTGTTAAGTTGTATGAATTCCCTATAAATGTTGGAGATTAAACCCTTATCGGTGATAACACTGGCAAATATGTTCTCCCATGCAGTGGTCTTTCTTGTTGTTTTGTTGATGGTTTCTTTTGCTGTGCAGAACCTTTTTATTTTGATGTAGTCCCATTTGTTTATTTTCTCTTTAGTTTCCAATGCCCTAGGAGCCATATCGGTGAAGAAATTGCTTTGGCGTATGTCTGAGATTTTGTTGCCTTCAGATTCTTCTCGTATTTTTATGGTTTCCCGTTGTACATTTAAGTCCTTTATCCATTTTGAGTTTATTTTTGTGTATGGTATAAGTTGGTGGTCTAGTTTCATTTTTTTGCATGTATCTGTCCAACTTTCCCAGCACCATTTATTGAAGAGACTGTCTTGACTCCATTGCATGTTCTTGCCTCCTTTGTCAAATATTAATTGAGCATATTGGTTCGGGTCGATTTCTGGGCTCTCTATTCTATTCCATTGATCTATATGTCTGTTCTTGTGCCAGTACCAGGCATTTTTGAGAACAGTGGCTTTGTAATACTGCTAATATCTGTTATTGAGATCCCATCTACTTTGTTCTTTCTCAGGATCGCTGCAGCTATTCGGGGTCTTTTTAATTCCAGATGAATTTTTGGAGAGTTTGTTCCAGGCCTGTGAAATATGCCGTTGGTATTTTAATGGGAAGTGCATTGAATTTATAGATTTCTTTGGGTAGTATGGACATTTTAATGATGTTGATTCTACCAATCCAAGAACATGGTATGTTCTTTCATCTGTTTATGTCGTCCTCTATCTCTTTTTCCAACGTCCTGTAGTTTTCTGAGTAGAGGTCTTTTACCTCTTTAAGTTTATTCCTAGGTAGCTTAATTTTTTGGTGCGATGGTAAATGGGATTGTTTTTTTAGTCTCCTTTTCTGTAAGTTCACTATTGGTGTATAGAAATGCCATAGATTTCTTGGTGTTAATTTTGTATCCTGCTACATTGCTGAATTCATTTTTTAAGTCTAATAGTTTTTTGATGGAGTCTTTAGGGTTTTTTATGTGTCATAGCGTGTCCTCTGCAAATATGGACAGTTTTACTTCTTCTTTTCCAATTTGGATGCCTTTTATTTCTTCTTCTTATCTAATTGCAATGGCTAATACTTCCAGTACTATGTCGAACAGGAATGGTGAGAGTGGGCATCCGTCTTGTTCTTGTTCTTAGGGGAAATGGTGTTAGTTTTTGTCCATTGAGTAGGATGTTGGCTGTGGGTTTGTCATATATGGTTTTTATTATGTTGAGGTATGATCCTTCTATTCCCACCTTGCTGAGAGTTTTTATCAAAAATGGGTGTTAGATTTTGTCAAACTCTTTTTCTGCATCAATTGATATGACTATGTGTTTTTTTTCTTTCAATTTGTTTATGTGTTGTATCACATTTATTGATTTGCGGATATTGAACCATCCTTGCATCCCTGGGGTAAATCCTACTTGGTCATGGTGTATGATCTTTCTGATGTACTGCTGGATCCGATTTGCTAAGATTTTGTTGAGGATTTTGGCATCTATGTTCATGAGGGATATTGGCCTGCAATTCTCTTTCATTGTGTTGTCTTTACCTGGTTTTGGTATTAGGGCGATGCTGGCTTCATAGAATGAGCTTGGAAGTGTTCCTTCCTCTTGAATTTTTTGTAGTAGTCTGAGGAGGATAGGTTTTAGTTCTTCCTTGAATGTTTGGTAAAACTCCCCTGTGAAGCCATCTGGTCTTGGGCTTTTGTTTGCTGGAAGCTTTTTGATGACTGCTTCAATTTCTTCCATAGTTATTGGCCTATTGAGATTTTTAGATTCTTCCTGATTGAGTTTTGAAATGTTGTATTTTTCTAGGAATATGTCCATTTCCTCCGGGTTGTCTAGTTTGTTGGAGTAGAGTTGTCCATAGTATTTTTTAATAATCATTTGTATTTCTGTGGGGTCTGTTGTTATTTTGCCTCAATCATTTCTGATTTTGTTTATTTGGGTCCTCTCTCTTTTCTTCTTGGTGAGCCTGGCTAGAGGTTCATCAATCTTGTTTATCCTTTCAAAGAACCAGCTCTTGGTTCTTTGGTCTCTATGTCACGTATTTCTGCTCTAATCTTTTTTTAAAAATATATTTTATTGGTTTTTTTTACAGAGAGGAAGGGAGAGGGATAGAGAGTTAGAAACATTGATGAGAGAGAAACATCGATCAGCTGCCTCCCGCTCACTACCTACTGGGTATGTGCCCGCAACCAAGGTACATGCCTTTGACCGGAATTGAACCTGGGACCCTTGAGTCCGCAGGCTGACGCACTATCCACTGAGCCAAACCAGTCAGGGCTGCTCTAATCTTTATTATCTCCTTCCTTCTGCTCACTCTGGGCTTTTCTTGTTGCTCTCTTTCTAGTTCTTTGAGATGTAGAGTTAGATGATTTACTACCATTTTTTCTTGTTTTTTTGAGATAGGCCTGTAGAGCTATGAACTTCCCTCTCAGGACTGCTTTCATTGTGTCCCATAGATTTTTGGATTATTGTGTTTTCATTAGTTTCCAGGATGTTTTTAATTTCTTCTTTGATCTCATTGGTAACCCAATCAATATATATTTTTAAAATATATTTTATTGATTTTTTACAAAGAGGAAGGGAGAGAGATAGAGAGTTAGAAACATCGATGAGAGAAACATCGATCAGCTGCCTCCTGCATATCTCCCACTGGGAATGTGCCCGCAACCCAGGTACATGCCCTTGACTGGAATCGAACCCGAGACCCTTCAGTCCGCAGGCCGACGCTCTATCCACTGAGCCAAACCGGTTTCGGCAACCCAATCAATATTTAATAACATTCTATTCAGCTTCCAAGTGTTTGAGTATTTTGGGTTGTTTTTATTGTAGTTTATTTCTAATATTATGCCATCGTGGTCTAAGAAGATGCTTGGTATGATTTCAATCTTCTTGTCTTTGGGGAGACTTTGTTTGTGACCCAATATGTGGTCTATTTTTTAAAATGTCCCATGAGCACTTAAGAACGTATATTCCGTGGCTTTGGGGTGAAATGTTCTGAAGATGTCAATTAAGTATATCTGATCTAGTGAGTCATTTAGGATTGCTGTTTCTTTGCCAATTTTTTGTCTAGAGGTTTTATCCAGTGATGTCAGTGGTATATTAAAGTCCCCTACTACGATTGTATTGTTGTCAATCTCTCCCTTGATATCTTCCAGGAGTTTTTTTTTTTAATGTATTTGTGTGCTCCTGCATTGGGTGCATATATGTTTACCAAGGTTATATCCTCTTGTTGTATTGATCCCTTTAGTATTATGAAGTGGCCTTCCTTCTCTCTTGTTATGGCCTTCACTTTTAGGTCTATTTTGTCCGATATAAGTATTGCTACCCCAGCTTTTTTTTCATTTCCACTTGCCTGAAAGATATTTTTCTACCCCTTCATTTTCAGTCTGTGCGAGTTCCTTATTCTGATGTGGGTCTTTTGTAGACAGCAAATATATGGGTCATGGTTTTTTATCAATTCAGCCACTCGATGTCTTTTAATTGGAGCATTTAGTCCATTTACAGTTAATGTTATTATTGAAAGGTACTTGTTTGTAGCCATTTCTATTTTTTGTGCCTGTTTTCTTTCTTAGCTTTTTATTTCTTTTTACACCAGTCCCTTTAGCATTTCTTGCATTGCTGGCTTGTTGGTGATAAACTCCCTTAGCCTTTTTTGTCTGTGAAGCTTCTTATTTCCCCTTCAATTTTGAATGATAGCCTTGCTGGATAGAGTATTCTTGGATTCATTACTTTGCTTTGCATCACTTTGTAAATTTCCGTCCATTCTTTTCTGGCCTGATGTGTTTCT